GTGAGATTTGTGTCATGGGCAAACAACACAGGCTGAGCTTCCCAAAAGGAACTCACCTATCTGTGGGATGTTTGGATTACCTTCATGCTGATATTTGGGGTCCAGAAAGAGTCAAAACACATGGGGGAAATAGTTATTTTCTAGCTATAGTGGATGACTTCAGTAGGAAGGTGTGGGTTTACCTACTTAGATCCAAGGATGAGGCTCTAATTAAGTTTAAAGGTTGGAAGTCTTTAGTAGAAAACCAACTGGGGAAAAAAGTGAAAACACTCAAAACTGACAATGGATTGGAGTTCTGTAACACTAAGTTTGACACTTACTGTAGAGACCAGGGAATTGAGAGACATAGGACAGTGAGGGGAACCCCTCAGCAAAATGGAGTTGCTGAGAGGATGAATAGGACACTTTTAGAGAAAGAGAGGTGCCTCCTTTTCACAGCTGGGCTACCTAAGTCTTTTTGGGGGGAGGCTTTAACCACTGCTACCTATTTAGTTAATAGGACTCCATCTAGTGCAACTGGTTACATTTGTCCTGAAGAAAGATGGTCAGGTAGAAAACCTTCCATAAACCATTTAAGAGTTTTCGGATGTGCAGCCTATGCACATACCAAAGATGGGAAATTAGAACCAAGGTCCCTAAGATGTGTGTTCTTAGGATATCAAGAAGGGACAAAGGGATATAGGTTGTGGGAGAGAGAGGCTATAGGAATTAAGGTCATTATCAGTAGAGATGTGATATTTAATGAATGTGTGTTTCCTTGCAAGGTTACCAACACTAATGCAGGTACCTTAAGCCATCAAGTGGAGAATCCACAGCAAGCTCAAAGTACTCAGGTTGAGGTGGAGTTAACCAACCAACAAGAACCTAAAATCAACATTGATGGACCAGAAGCTGAACCTGTACAAAATACCAATGATACTGATCTTGATGGTGAAAATGAGGATGAAGAAAACAATGATAATGCCCAACAAGAGGACCTGGCTCATTATCAACTTACTAGAGACAGAACTAGGAGGGAAATAAGAGCACCTCCAAGGTTCAGCTATGCTGAACTTATCTACATAACACTACTTGCTGGTGTAGAGATACAAAGGACAGAGCCTGAGTCCTATGAAGAAGCCATAAAATCAAAGGATAGTAAGAAATGGCTTATTGCCACGAATGAGGAAATGGACTCCTTAAGGAAGAACAAGACTTGGACTCTGTTGAATGCAAGTGGTTATACAAGCTGAAGGAGGGCATACACAATACTGATCCACCCAGGTATAAGGCTAGATTAGTGGCCAAAGGCTACACCCAAAGGACAGGTATAGACTTCACTGAGATTTTTTCCCCTGTTGTTAAATTTAAAACTATTAGAGTGATGTTATCCTTAGTAGCACATCATGATTTAGAGTTAGAGCAGTTAGATGTAAAAACTGCATTTTTGCATGGGGAATTAGAAGAACAAATATATATGAGTCAGTCCATGGGATTTAAGGATAAACAGTTTCCTAATCATGTATGCTTACTGAATAAATCATTGATTGGACTCAAACAATCACCTACGCAGTGGTACAAGAGGTTTGACTCATTCATAGTAGGGATATGCTTCACTAGAAGTGATCATGATAACTATTTTTATTTTGCACATGTGGATACAAATCCAGTATATCTTTTACTGTATGTTGATGACATGCTTTTAATCAGTAAGTCTAAAGCTCAGATTGATGTGTTGAAGGGAAAATTACATGCTGAATTTGAAATGAAGGATTTAGGCTATGCAAAGAAAATATTAGGCATGCTAATAGAAAGAAACAGAAAAACTTGCAGTTTAAAACTCTATCAGATGTCTTATCTACAGAAACTGATAGTTAGATTTGGAATGAATGACTCTAAATATGCCTCAATGCCCTTAGCTAGCCATTTCATCCTTAGTAAAGCCCAAAGTCCACAAACAGAATCTGAAAGATTAAAAATGGAATCCATACCTTATGCAAATGTTATTGGCTCTGTCATGTATTCCATGATCAGTACAAGACCTGACTTGTCATACTCTATATCACTGTTAAGTAGGTATATGTCTAATCCTGGATGGGAACATTGGAATGCTCTGAAATGACTCCTTAGATACATTAAGAACATTGTGCATGTAGGTTTAAATTTCTATAAAAGAAACTCCTTACTTGATCTGGTTGGGTATGTAGACTCGGATTTTGTAGGTGATAGAGACTCCCGGAAGTCTACAACAGCATACCATTTTACTTTGGGAGGTAACTGTATCAGTTGGAAGTCCCAATTACAGCCACTGGTAGCTCTGTCCACAACTGAAGCAGAATATGTGGTTGTAACTGACGCATTCAAAGAAGCTATATGGCTTCAAGGGTTCTTGAAAGAAGCCAAGCTGCTGGATGGAACTGTGACTGTCTATTCAGATAGTCAGAGTGCTATTCATTTGGGGAAGAATCCCGTGTACCATGAGAGGACTAAACACGTAGATGTACGGTACCATTTTGTGAGGGTTCTGATCTCAAAAGGAGAGGTGAAACTAATGAAAGTCTCAACTGAAAACAACCCGGCAGACATGGGAACCAAGGTTATAACACTTGCAAAGTTCAAGCACTACTTGAACTTATTGCATGTGGGATAACCAAATCAGAACTAAGAAGGAATATGGAAATGCTTGCTACACAATTGATCTGAATTGCTGGAACGACTGCGACAGACTTCAAGGTGGAGATTGTTAAATAAGTGAAGCCTGCATGTCGTTTAGGCCAGGAAAAAAACGTTGTCGTTCTGCCTATTAGTCCAAATCAATCACAGCCATCAAAGTTAAAGAGAATCTGACGGCTCCAATTCAATCACAAGTCAACAGTATAAAAGGGGAACCTTTTCACGCATTTTGGCAACTGTTCGTGTATTAGGGTTTTCTCTTTTTCTCTGTAAATACGTTTTGTAACTTGGTTAGGGTTTGTGATTCATTCTGGTTCTTCTCTGTGTAAATCGTTCTAGAGTCTTATTTTTTAGGGCGGGGTGTTCCTTAAAGGGTATAGAGTACTCTAGTGTTAAGATTTACGGGATAAAGAGAAGTGAATGAGTGTGTGAATGTTTGGTTGATAGTGAAGGAGATTGGTCTGTAATCTGTAATCTTTGGAGTGATTAATCCTAGTGCAGTGAGCTCCATATTCTGGAGTTCAATGTGGATGTAACTTGTTCTATATTGAACAAGCGAATCACGATAGATCTTGTGTTGATTTTCTTTGTTCTTGCGTTTTTTGTTATGATCTGAGGTTAATCTTGCAGGTTGAGGAATTAGTATTCATTTACAACACAAGGGTAGGCCGAGCCTCAAAGGGGCTTGACCTGCCCCTGGCCCCATTTACAACGAGGACTGTCCTAAGCGGGTGTTAATCCCACGAGATTTGTCTAGATATGCCTAATAGACATCCTTGTCAGCTTGATATACCAAGTTGGCAAGATTTTATGGGTCATCTCATCCACGACCAAGGCCATCCCAAGTGGGTGTCAATCCCACGAGGTTTGCCTAATGTCACGGATCTTACATCGGAAACGTATTAAAGAGGTTTTGGGCTGAGAGAGAGAGAGAGAGTGAGTGAGAGAGAGGGCTCCTTCCACCTAATGAGTTAGTCTTTTGGGTGTGAAATTCCCAGCTCGTGATGGTGGTATCAGAGTAAACCCGATCCGTCTTTTGGTGGGCGTAACAAGATTGGTTGTGGGAGAACGTCACGGATTATTCATCACATCAAAAGCGCATTGAGGAGGTCTTAGGTTTAAAAAGAGAATGTCGCGGATCCCATATCACATCGGAAGAGCATTGGGGAGGTCTTGGGCTTATAAGAGGAGTCTCTCCACCTAATGTGTTAGCCATTTAGGTGTAAAACTCTAAGCCTTTAACACTAGATATACCCAATAGACATTCGTAATGGCTTAAAACTATCTTGTGGTTATTAACTTGTAAGCCAAATCATTATATATATATGAGATTCAATTAAATTTACAAATTAGAACCAAAGAGATCAGAAACTTGCCTGGAGATGACCTCTAGAAAATGCAATATGTAATAAATTGTCGCCTTCGTCGTTGGTCCATTCCAGTATTTCGTCACTGCCCATGCAGCGAAGCCATCCTAGCAGGATTTCAGGGGCTTCCAGTTTGTCATTTTTTTACAGCAAGATGCAGAGCATTTTCTCTTCGAATTGTCACATCTCGAATAGACTCGGGGCAATCTGCAAGAAATTCAAACAGAATTTCCACCATTCCTTTCTCAGCCACATAATGCAAAGGGGTTTTACCTTCCCTTCCTTGGACACGAGCAAATTTCTATCAACATCTAGTAGTCGAAGCACCATCTGGGTTTGTTCATATTGCAAAGCAAGATGCATAGGGGTAAATCCATGTTTGTTTAGCTTTCTAGCGAATGATGGCTTTAACCTCATAATCTCTAAGGCAAACTGAATATGACCTGCAGATGCTGCCATGTGCAGAGGAGTATCAACAAATGGTACCTCATCTATATGCTCCAGAAGATATACATCCTCCGATATTAATGCATATAGGGCATCCAAATCTCCCTGTTCAGTAGCCTTCTTCAACCTCTGATCCTTACTGAGGAATAATTATTAAGTAGCTAAATCAAATCATTTCGGAGATAAGATGTCGAAGCACTCCAAACAACAACAGAAAATGCATAAAATGAAACGTTTTACCTTGCGGTACGTGCAAAGGGATCAATACTAGGAAGAAAATAAGCTTCGGATGCTCCAGCACTGCGTAGCATTTCCTCCAACTCAGCGTTTCCTGGAGGAGTTTGAGCAAGGAAGATATCTAAAGCTGTTAAGCCATCCGAATTTTTGGCATTAACATCTACTTCGCCCTTTAATAAACACCGTACAGCCTGCTTAATGGATAAACGAATAATTGATCCATCCACTATGAATTTTTTTATTTTGATTAATGTCAAAATAATCATTTATAGAAATTTTTTAAAGCATATTTATGCGCTAGCTTACCTGAGGTTGATTTTGGTATATTGCTAGATGTAATACAGTGTTTCCATACTTCTCCTTCCAATTTAGGATTCTTTTATTCCAGAAACGATTATCTTCATGTTTAATCCCCTCAAGCGATTTGACCTGAACTTCAAAAGCTTCAAACTCATTGTTTTTCAACGCTATATGCAGAGCAGTCTCACTTCTTACAGTCACGTCTTCGAAAGATTTTGGGCAAACTGATAAGACACCGGCCAAGAGATGAACGTCTCCTTTCTCGGCTGCAAAATGCAGAGGTGTTAAACCTTCTCTTCCTTTAACACGAACAAGATCAGCATCAACAGCAAGTAGGTGAAAAACTGTTTCGGTTTGCCCATTTTGTAAAGCAAAGTGCAAGGGGCTGAACCCTTCTTGGTTTAGCTTTCTACCAAATGATGGCTTTAACATCATGACCTCAATGGCAAATTCAATATCCCCGTTAGATGCAGCAACATGTAAAGGCGTAGTAACAAAAGGTATCTCATCAATCCTCTGCAAAATAGATGGATCTCTTTGAATTAGTTCATACAAGGTTTTTGTATCTCTCGCTTCCAAAGCAGCCTCCATCTTGGAAACACAATACCATGTAGACTGCTCCCTGAAGAGTGGGGAAGATTAATTGAATCCACATAAGACCGTCTGATCTGTAAGACGGTAAGACAACAGACAAAAGGGAGTGGCAAAGTCAAGGTCAATCGAATTAATTAACATTTTAAGGACGACATAATAATTACACTTTGAAAAAAGTATATTAGTGTTGATTGATTCCGCTTAGGTCGGCTATCATAGTTTCCCACATGTATAAACTCCATGATTTTTTTGACAACATCTCTAAGGTCTAGTAATCCTTGTGGTATCAGAGCCAAACCACTTCTCGATTCCAATTTCTGCGTGTGCGGAGGATTACCTCCCCTCGGATATTGGCTTCTTTAAGTAACTTATTGGTTACTTATTGGTTCCAATTTCTGCGTGTGCGGAGGATTACCTCCCCTCGGATATTGGCTCCTTTAAGTTTTGGTTATGTTTTCTTTCTCTATTTCATATGTTATGTTTTGTTTAATATTTGGGTTTTGCGCTATCTTTACCATTTGAGGTGATATTACACATCCAAGAGGTTGAACTTACGCACATGGAATCCTCTTCAGCTTTATCTACGTTTACTGCTCCCGTAAATACTAGCTTATCTAGATCTTATTCTAAAATAGACAGTTTGTATGAAATATCTTATATCCCAGAAAATCAAAAAATCCAAGACACTATCCCTCCCATTGTAAATCCTTACACAGCCTTTTCCAAGTCTACGTCTTCTTTGTCTAAAACCTTTAAAACTCTTGTCCGTCCTTCCAGAAAGCCAGTCAAAGAGTATGTCCAGACTAGTACATTTGACAAGTGTCAAATTCCAGCCACATCCCAAGAACAATATGTTACTTTAGAAATCCCTCAAGAATCCATTACTCAATGGATCCGTGAAGGATACTCTCATGTGCACTTTGGCGCTATCCGGCTCGCTCTCTCTTATCATGGCAGAAAAGGACTTCCGGTCTCTGTTCGAATTGCTTTATTGGACACCAGATTTGTCCAATATCAACATGCTTGTATCGGGACAGCACAGACGACTTTGAATGCTGGGACAGTCATCATGACGCTGTTTCCTAATTTCAACATGTCTCTCTCTGATGTTCATTGCTCTAAGGCTCTTAAAGTTCAATTACAGATCGTTGGTGCAGATTTAAATCCAGGAAGTATTGCAGCTACTTTGCATTATCAAATGGTTTGGCGAATCCAAGACCATGCTCTTGATCTCGCTATCCCTACGACTACTGATGCACTGCTTCTCACTGTTGACTCTCAGAATACTCCTCATTGCATCAATATTCCCAGGCAAATTTCTAGAGATGATTTGATTAAATTGTTACCCGACTCTTGGGTGACGAGTTACGAGTCTCTTAACAAAAAAGAAACTCCGGTGGTTTCTACAGAATCTACCATGCATGATAACAGTGACGGAACAACAACTATCAGATTTAAGTCTCCAGCAACTCCCAGTGCTCCACCTTTGAGTTTTCGACAAACTCAATTCATGATTACTCCGGTCATACCCACTACCACAGTACGGGAACCTGGACTTTCCATTCATTCTTTTCAACAATCTGGTGCTCCTGTCTACCATCAATATGATCCAGTCACTGGTCACACTCCATTTGATCTTGACTGCCAATGCTCGGAATGCCGTGATGATCCTATTTGGGAAATCGATGAGCATTATCTTCCAAGACGAAACTATTTCAACCAGAAAAATAAGAAAGCTCGATGTAGTCAGACAGATCTTCATTCCCGCTTTGAAGAACATGATCCTGAAGTTGGTCTTCTTGGTCAACCTTCTGGTAAATTTGACTATTATGTCAAATATTCTCCACCAGCCAGAAAAGATTTACCATCCAGTAATCCTTCATGGGACATCCCTCCGAAACCTCAACCTAAATCACCTTTAAAACTATCCAAACCTACAAAATCACCTTACTTCAGACAGCCTTTACCATGTTATCAATAGTCTCTGCGGTGGATTGCAAAAGAACATAAACTAACCCATTCACCCCTTGCTCGTACTCCCCCTGTTCAGTCCGTTATGATGATACAATCCCCTGAGCTCTCAAAGACAGGACAACATTTCAATTATGATACATATTTTCCTTCTCTTTAGGAAACTGCCACTCAACAACTAAGAGTTGTTCCTTCCAAAGCTATACAGCTTGATGGATCCACACCTAAACTATCCCAAGCTGAAGCCGTTCTCAATTGGCAAACTGAAAATGCTTTAGCCCAAAACAAAACCATGACCTGACTTTAACAAAAACTGGATTTAGTAGCTCATCAGGTGGACTCTCAGTCTCAGAACCAAACTATGCTGATTTCTCGGCTACAAAAACAAATTGATCATCTCCAAAATCGGATTGATCAGCTCCATCAGGAATTAATGCACATTGTTAGCAGCTCTCATGGCTATTCAGCTCAGTTTCTCCAGAAGGAAGCAGAAATAAAGTCACTAAAAACCCAAATGGCATCGCTTCAGCAGGAATATCTTAAGCAAAAACTCAGACAACCACAGACTTTCCCTGAAATGTCATTAGTACCAAACCCTTTTGATTCTACAACAGCATGGCCACAACCCTCTTTTTCCCCTTTTCCAAAAATTAGCCAAACATTGGTCTCACCTCATATACCTTCTGGTGCTGTTCAAGCTTTTGGCAGCACTGAACAATTATATGCCAAGCTCCATAAAGAATGTGATGAAAAGATCAAGCTGGAATGAGAACAAAAGAAGAGAGAAAAGTATTATGCTAAACCGCGGACCTCATCCGCTGATATTCCTGACTCTTTCTCTTCTAGTCACTCAGATCCTCCATCTCCTAAGCCTCATCGTCCTTTATCTAAGGATAAGGCTCCAATGCACATAATGATGATGGAAGACCGCCAACCTTCTGCTAATCCTGACTCTTCCGAAAATCCCGTCTCCTCCAATTTTATGAGCTCTTTTTTGCGAGACATGGCAGAAAGGCAACGTCTTGTTCGCTTTGGGTCTTTCTCAGGATTCTCTTCAACCTTACAAACAGAATCAGAAGCCGCTATACCTTCCCTGATGAATCATTTGAAAGTGACTTTGACTCTGACAGTGATACTTCTGATCACAATCCTCATGTTTATCCCCAATGATGACCCATCAACCTGAATCGTCCAGACCACCTGTTGTTTCTGAGTCGATGATGAATGCCTGAAGGTGATGTTCCATTCTAGACTCTCCGCCTATGTATCGACAACTCCTCATACTCCGGCTGAACTGACTCTATACAGCTTCAGCAAAGCTCCACACTTTTACCGTCGATGATCTTCGTCCATACAAATGAGAACTCGAATGTATGTTTCAGGCCTGGTTACAAGCTAAGATGCTGAAACCTAATGCCCAAGTCCTACTATACTTACCAGTTTACAGCTAGATTTGGAGGCATTCTCCGTGATTGTTGGATAAGTCTTCAGAGTATAACAAAATTTATTCATCCAAATGCCAGTATAAACCAAGCCCTGTATCTCCTGTATGATGAATTCTGTGATTACCTCATCTTTATGAGAACCAAGTCAGAGAAGATATTTTAAGATGCGATGCTGTTCTCTAAAAGGAAAGATCTTGACAGCATTATAAAAAGATGGTTAAAGGATCATATACTGTAGGGTATGGAGATCCTAATATGAAGTAAGCCTTTTTGGCATCAATTCCTGAATCCCTAAGTCATGAAGCAACCAAGCTTATGCAGTCCCAGAACAAACAACTTGGCTCCACTTCTCTTGGTGAAATTTACCAGTTTGTTATTCTTGCTCTGGAAAAGCTCTGTCTCAAAACAATTTTTTGATGATTATATGAAGCGTTCTAAACCTGCAAAGGTTTTTCAACGCCCAACTTGCAGATCAAGTGCAAATCAGATCGCTCATGTTCTGTCCTACCAAGAAGAGTTTCATTCGACGCATCAAGTTTTCTCCACCTAATGCTCCGGCTCGACCAAATTTCGACGGTTTCAAGAACTGCAAGTTTCTTCGCAAAAGGAAACGCAAAGGCAAACAGTCTAATCGTTGTTATTTGGCAACCGCCCGGGTCATTTTGCCAAAAATTGTCCAAACACGCTAACATCAGTCAAAATGACAACAACTTTCTCAGCTCACGATATCGATTTTTCTGATGATGATGTTGAAAGTTGTTTTTCAATGGATGACGAACCCACTTCAGACACCATTTTCCAGTTTGCAGCCACTGATACTAAGTACTCTGATTCAGATGATTGTCACTATTTCTACCATATCAACAAGCACCAATCCCTTCCATCATTAGCCTTCTCATGTCACATACCTACAACAAAGTTCAGATCTTCCCTACTAAATACTCAAATCCTGTTTCAGTCATTGCATTCTTTGATACTGGTGCTACTCGTACTATTTACACACCCTAAATCCTTCTAGCCTCTCAGTGGAAACCTTATCAGGAAATATTCTACACTACTAATAGTGAAACTTTCACTACTCATCTGATCAGCAAACCCATTAAAATCCAATTTTCCCAGGCTGTTTCACTTTTCATAAAGTTCTTGGTTCCGATCTACCTGGCAAAGACTGGTTCTAGTTTTTTGATGTTTATTCTAAACTCAGTAAACTTATAATCCTCCCTGATGTGGTTCGTTACAAGATTTTTTTCCAATTTGGACCACACAGCCTAATTTATTCCAGATTGAAGGCAATCCTATTGAGCGATCAAGACCCAACTTATTTCTCTTCTTGCGCAGATTCTCATGCTGATTTTCTCACTAAATTGCTCATCCATTATGGAAGAATTCAGAATTCTTTATCCGTCTTCCATTCATCAAGAGCGAAGATATCAATCCCCCTAAAGCTAGTCATTCCGGCATGTCACGGAACATCTCAGTCTCACCCAACAAATGTACTCAGCTTTTATCTCAAAGTTGATTGAACCCACAGACTCTCAATGGGCATGTGAAGCTTTTTATGTCAATAAACGGCAAACACCAGAGGAAAACTCAGACTTGTGATCAATTATCAGCCCTTGAATTTCTTTCTCCCGTGATGATAAATTTCCTCTGCCTTCCAGACAAGTTCTTTTTGCAAATCTCCATAATGCAAAGATGTTTTCCAAAATTTTACCTCAAAGCTGGCTTTGGCAACTTGGAATTCATCCTGATGATCGTCATAAGACTGCTTTCTGTATTCCCAATCACACTACCAGTGGACAGTCATCCTTTTGGACTAAAGTCCCTCCTTCCTTGTTTCAGAAAGCCATGACGAAGATTTTTGCTCCCCTTCTGCATACATGTCTCATTTATATCGATGATATCCTTCTCTTTTCAAAAACAGGAATCTCATATAGGTCTTCTTCATGACTTTGTTGATATCGTCCATACTTATGGTATCATGCTTCTGAGAAGAAATGCAATTGGGGCAAACAAAGATTGATTTTCTCGGTATGGTGATTGCTGATGGCAAGTATAATCTTCAGCCTCATATTGTAATGAATTGCAAAAATTCCCAGATGTTCTCACAACCAAGAAAGAAATACAACAATTCTTGGGAATTGCCAATTACATGCGCTGTTTCTCCCCACATTTCTCGTTTCACTACTCCACTTTCCCGATGCTTAAAAGAATCCTCCAGAATGGTCTGAAAAGCAACAAATGCAGTCAAGAGTCTCAAGCACTCATCCTTCCATACACAGCCATTGAAGATTCCTTCTTCGGAAACGTATTCTTCAGATGAATGCTAGTGACACTCATTGGGTGTAGTACTTTTGGAACAAGATGACACAAGGTACAACATCTGTGCGGATACCAGAGTGGACAATTCAAACCACACCAGCAACATTATCATTCCTACTTTCAAGGAAGTATTAGTAGTCAAAAATGCCATTGAAAGGTTTGAATTCCACCTTGTTGGACATCATTTCTTTGTTGAAACTGATATGAAGTCTTTTGTCAAATGTTTCGTTTCCATAAGAAAAGGTTCTACTCATCAGTTACTCATTAGGCCGAATGGTTAGTAAATTTCCTTCACCGTCCAGCAATCAAAGGTCCACCCACCATTGCAGATTATTTATCCAGACCTAAACTAACAAGTTGGTTTCATGAACCCTAGATCTAAACCTCTTCTATGTTTTATGTTCCAACCATTAACCCAGTCTAGTTCCTTTTCATCATCCTCTTCACCAACCATATTCCAGATTACCTCCTGAATTCGATAACCTTGTTCAAACACGTACCATTGATGAAAGCTACCACCCTCATATTTTCTTACCAACTTCAATGCATTGAAAATGTGTCAATCCATGTATGATATGTTAGGTTCCATCTAGATTACCCTTTTTTAAAAATCTTTTGTTTACCTCCAATCTTGATATCATATTTCCAGAAGAATATTATGGTTCTTTTGGTATATGTTACATCATACCACATTGCTATTCAATTCCTGATCTATCATATGTTGAAAATAATTTCCCAATACTAGTCAACCTCAACCCCTGAATTACGCTCTTTGATGACTTTTTTTCCGATTGGTTCAAAACCCTCGACAAATGGAAGCCTGTTTTTTTTGCTCACCAACTTGCCCGATACAAAGGTCCTATGTCTACCAAAATGGCATGGTCTATAATGTTTTTTCACAAACATCACTCTATCCGATCTGATGGCCTATATTTTTCTCACCATCAAGTCACCTTTCATCGGTCTTATCCATATGATCTTGTCCATAATATGTTTGATCATCCTGTTGAGACTAGATCAATTCAAAAAATCCTTTTTGAAAAAAATCAGATCATTCTAGATGCCATATGGCCATCTTTTCACGATAATGCTCCGTGGGAACTCTTTCCTCCAGACTACACTGAGAAATTGCTCCACGCCAAACAAACATGCATACGTTCCATCAATGATCAATCCGATGACAATTCATCTTATCCAGAATGGTGGTACCCGGACTCACAGCTAGATACTGTGCAGGAAGAAGAGCTTCAGCAGTCTCGTGATTACTATCTCCATAAATCCAGGCGACAACAATACGTGCATGCACCAAGTACATCTGCCACGCCAACATCTCAGATTCCAGACATTTCTTCGGATACTTATCCAGATACATCTCCCAGACAAATCCCTGCTGACTGGATTCAATCAATGGGTTGTCTCGACTTTCAGGATGAAGAATCGTGGCACGTTACCAACTTGTCAGACGATTAAAGATCTGCGTGTCTTAAAATAAATGGTGGTGTCCTTTATGTAAAATAGGAATGGACTAAATGGCAATTTGCCTTTTCATTGTAATATCTCCCGTAGCCATTGTAAAAAAGTCAAGTATTGTAAGCTTTTGTTTTGTCAACAATTGTAGGCTACTTAATTAATTAAAAAAAAAAAAGTTAGCCTTGGAATTAATGCCTCATTTATGAGTGCTTGTCTCCCTTGTATCTATAAATAAAGGCTTTTCCCTTCTCGGGAGGAGGAGGAACTTGGTTGTAAACTTTGAAAACACTTTTTCTCTCCATCTTCATTTCCATATTTTCTCTACACTTCCATACTTTCTCTACACATCTTTACTATACTTCTTCCATGTTTCTTTCATATTTCTAAGTTTTCTTCAACCTCAAGGGTGATGTAATACTCTGAAAATGTTATAGCTAGCAAAAGATCCCATATATGTTTTAATTTATGTTCTTTAACATGTTTAATATTTATGTTTTCCTTTATGTTCTTGTTCTTCATTTTTGTACATGTTCTTCATTTATATTTATGCTCTCCATTTATGTTGTTGTTTAATTTTTACTAGCCCTTTTAGATGATGTTAGAAGCTGCATGGGTGTACGTGTGTGTGGGATAAAAGGAGGGCCTTGACCATTTTTAGACCGATCGTTGTGTTGATTGGTTCCGCTTAGGTCGGCTATCATAGTTTCCGACATGCATAAACTCCATGATTTTCTGACAGCATCTCTAAGGTCTAGTAATCCTTGTGCAACTCATATACTAAAATATAAAAAATTATTGTCGCAAACCGCAACCAATGGACAAACCTCGCTTGTAATGCTCAGGAAAATTGGTGGACATAAAATCACAACTTATTATAATATAAATATGTGTCGGTGTTGTAGTGTCACTTCCTTGTAGTTAAATAAGAAATACATGTACATATTTAAGATTAAGTGTTTTGGGAGAATAATTTAATGAGTTTTCATGAAAGGGGATAGAATATATCTTACCATAGCAAGACTCTTATCTAAATGTATACCTAGTTTGTAAATACGGGTATGAGAATTTTATAGATATGATACGACAAATGGTAAAAATACGTTTATAAAAATTTGGCCATAAAAGTCGGATATAGGAAAAATATGGTACGGGTATATACAGGTTTAATACGATATATTGTTGATAATACGTTTTGAAAAATACGTCAATATCAATCCTAATTTTAGCATTTTTTATGGACCACCTTATTAAAATCAAGATAACACTTCAAATGCAAATTATGCAATTAACCAATAGTTATTAAAATCATTAGTTATTTGGTAGTGGATATACTGTACACATAGCCTAACCATTTCTAAAAAGCTAATGCTTAAGTTTTATAAATTAAAACTTGCATAAACAAAAACGGTTATAACCATTTCATTTTGACCCATACAATATAAAACAACAAACGTAAATGGAATATTATGCTAAAACGGATACCAAATAGCAAACAGGTACGGGTACGAGTCAAACAGGTACGAGTCTAATACGAGTCGAAATAAATGGGTCTAAAATATTAGACCCGTACCCTACCCTATAAGGGTACGGGTGGACCAGCGGGTGGACCCGTTTTTCCTCTCTCCAGGTTTAGTTTCTGCAATTTCACCTTTTTGAGGAAACTGAACTCCTTGAACTAGTTTTCAGATACCCACACAATTCATTGGCTTATCTCACTTATTCTCTCTCGTCCTCTGAGATTGTATAATCAAAATTAGATGACCCAGAAGACACAAAATCTGAATCTGAAGGTACAACATACTTTTGCTTTGCCGACTTGATTTTGTCTTGCTCTTTTCTCTCACAACTAGAGTATCATCAAGAAAATCACAATCTTCATCTTCATCATCATCACATATTTCTTTCCTCCTCAACACACGAGTTCTTTTTCCTTTCTTTCCTAAAGGCTTTGCTGAGTCTGTACGTTTTCTCTTTTTTCGACCTCTAACAGAAGCCAACTTAATTGCCATTTACAGTGACAGCCTGAAAATCAATTTAGAATAATGGAAGAATTGCATCTACAGGCAGTGATGGAGTTGTACTATGTGACTGAACATAATTAACACATTGAAACTTAAACCCATGTGTTGACTTGTACCCATCTTTAGAAAATTAATTTCCTAATACATAACCCTTTTTTCTTAGACTTTTCTACCCAACTTCTTATTCTTCCTACTGTTGTTTTTCTTATTCGTGACCACCAATTCCTCTTCATCATCCAAACAATCATCTTCATCAAGGGTAAACTCCTCATCCTCCTCTTCCTCCTCCTCTCCTTCATAATCCTCATCTTCTTCATCTCCATACAAAACCCTTTTCCTCTTTCGTGATGTTTTAGCCCCATTTCCTAAATTACTCTTTCCCGCTTTTGATCCAATAACCTTCCTCACCTCCTTCTCTTCTTCGACTTCCTCTTCCTCCTCCTCCTCTTCCACAAAACCATCGAAACTCTCTTCTAACGCACATCCAGTTGACCGATAAGAGATTGAGAGGTGGGAGAGAATGTTATGTTGAAGACTGAGAGGCAAGAGAGATCAGAGGCAAGATAGAGTTGAGTTGCTGAGTTAGGGTAGGGGGTTAGGGATTTGCAAAAACGAGTGAACCCGCGGGTGCCTGCGGGTTCACCCATATAACCCGTTAGTTATACGGGTCCAAAAAAAACGGGTTCAATATATTGGATCCATACCCTATATTTTTTACTCGAGTATGGATCGACCTGCGGGTCTGAACCCATTTTGCCAGGTCTACTACTCACACACTAACACAAACACAAGCAAATTAATCACCAACATACGAGATTCAAAGACAGTTAAAAAGGGAAGAGAAGAAATGTGTAACTTGAGGCTTGAAGAGTTGAAGTCTTGGACCTCGGAGAAGAGAAGAAGAGATCAAGACTCAAGAGTCAAGAGGTGAAGAAAAGAGAGTTAAAGAGATGAAGAACTGTTGAAGATTTTAAGAATTGTGGAAGAGAAGTAGAGAACCGAGGAAGAGTCGAAGAGGAGAAGGAGAAAAGAAAATCTTTAATTTTTTAGTCAAGTCCCACCCAAAACGACGTCGTTTTGGCTTTTTACTTTAATCTTTTTTGCTTGCAATAATTCGGCAATAATACACCTATAATTCTCGAAGTATACGGATTAGGCATATAATACATGTATTATACGACAACCCTAATAAAATACATAAATTCGAGTTTTATACGCGAATTTACTAACATGGAATGTATATGGTTGAATTATTTGGTTGACTTTTTACTTATGTTGGAAGTCTTTCTATCTAATAGGTTGATCAAATCAGGAAAAAGAGGAACATGGAAACATGATAATCTAATTCGTTTAATTAAGGATCGGGATTAAAATATTGATTGTTAGGAATGTGACCAATTAGCCAGAAGAAGAGATGAATAGAATAATTCCATAAATTAAAAGAATCAATGATTAAATTAAGTTTTTGTATCAAATGGATTAAATTTTATTGCCTAGAAATAGTTTTATTTTTTTATGACGGGGTATTCAGGCCTACTTATGCGCACCTCAACTAATCCATTGGAATTGTCGGTTGGATAAGAGCTCCCGTGGTCACCCATATTAGCAATTGTGGGGATTCGAACTCGGGAAACCATATTAGAGTTTTTTTTTTTTTTTTTTTTTTTTTGCTCTTTTACTATCAAAGAGACTCGAAATTTAGAGATCATGTTAGATATTCATCTTGCTATTTTACTATTAAGAGGACTCGAACTTAGGAGACTATATTATATTCTCATTTGCTCTTTTATCATCAGGATATCCCTTGATAGTTTTTGCCTAGAAATAGTTCCATATCTATCCATAATAATTGGCTCATACTCATGTAGTAGCATTGTATTCTTTTTGGAAGAGTTTTGAGATATATTTTTAACGACTAGGAAATTAGGAATAAACTTTCTCAGGCATTTGAGTAATCAAGTTGAGAGGGATGTGACAGCTTGGTTGGGAATAAACTTGAATAAGTAATCTTGTAGGATTGATCATGTTCCATGGATTCAGAATGTATAAATCTAGAGTTTTCGTGTGTGATTATTTTCTTCAGTTTTTACTAGGGGTGAGCGGTTCCGGGTACCCTACATTTTTCAGGGGAACCGGAATCGGAACCGCACAATACAGTTCTTCAATTCAAGGAACCGAAACCTAAAATGCAGGTTCCGGTTCCTTTCCAGGGTACCCTGTAAAAAATCAATTACCCCCCTATTAGTTTAAAAAATAACAAAAACACCTTGTAAGTTTACAAATACACCCCTAACAAATTTTCATTATTCATTCATTTGTGTCCAATGTAACTCATAACCTGTAATCTCTAAGCAACACTTGAATTCAATCAATTCATCACAATTCACATAAAATTCGTCAATCAAAACCCAAACACAAACAATTATTCATCACAATTCACATAAAATAATTATTAATATTTATTAATTTATTAATTTTATAATTGGTCAATGGGGTATTTATAAACCAAATATAATTTAGTAAATTTAATATTAGAAATTTTAATGTTATATTAAATAAGTGATCATCTACAATGTAATTGAAATGTTATATTTGTTAAGTGATCATACTACAATGTAAATTGTAATGTATAATTAATTAATAATATACTTTAATTATAATGTATATTTATAATTATTAATTGTTAATCATTTAATTAAGTATTGTATATTGTTTTAATAGAATGTTATATTAATTAATATCTACCATAAATTTATAATATAATGTTATAATTAATAAAATATAATAATTTGATTAGTATTGTGTAAATTAGTAAATTACTAATGTTTATATATAATGTCATAATCAATTAAGAATCATTTAATTATGAATGTTTATATATATATTATCATACTATATAGATAAGTAATGTTTAAATGATTAAGTATCATACTATAAATCTATATTAATATATAATTAATTAAATTTCAAATCATTCGATTAATATACTAATGTTTATAATGGAAGTTATATTGATTAAGTAATCATATTATAAATATATAGGTAATGTTATAATTAATTAAATTTTTAATCGTTTTAATTATTAAGTAATATTAGTAAATTAGTAATTACTAATGTTTATAATGTAATGTTATAAATTCATAACTAATTATGTAATTATGTAATCATAACTATGAATGCTATAATTAAGTAAGTGTATAAGAATATATAATAATAATAATATTATAATTTATTTGAGTAATTATTTAACTATATGTAAGCTTAATTAATGTTTATAATAAAATGTTTATAGTAATGTTATAATTAATTAAATTTCTTCATTTAATTAAGTATTGTGCTAATGTTTATTGTAAATTAGTAATTGCTAATATTTAAAACATAATATCATAACTCATAATCAATTAAGTAATCATTTAATTATGTATTGTTATATTATTATATGATCATACTATAATATATAATGTAATGTTATAATGAATAGTAATCATACTTAAATCTATAATTTAATATTATAATTAATTAAATTTCAAATCATTTGATTAATACACTTGTTTATAATGGAATGTTATAGTGATTAAGTAATCATTTATAAATATTAAGGTAATATATATTAATTAATTTTTATCGTTTGATTAGTAATGTAATATATAGAATTACTAATTTTTAATGTAATGTTATAAATTCATAACTAATTATATATTATGTAATCATTTAACTATGTAATGCTATAATTAAGTAAGTGATCATAATATATAAGTAACATAAAATATTATAATTTTTTGAGTATTATTTAATTATAGTAATGTTTAATTAATGTTTATAATGAAATGTTTATAAGGTAATGTTATAATTAATTAAATTTCTTATCATTTAATTAAATTTGTGCTAATGTTATGTAGTAAATTAATAATATTATGTTTAACATAATATCATAACTCATAATTAGTAAGTAATTATTAATTATGTAATGTTATTTAATTATATGATCATACTATAATAGTATAAGGTAATATTATATGAATTAAGTAATCATACTATAAATCTATAATTTAATATTATATTATAAATTTCAAATATTTGATTAATATACTAATGTTTATATAGAATATTATAATTGATTAAGTAATTATATTATAAATATATAAGGTAATATTATAATTAATTAATTTATCGTTAATTAAGTAATGTAATAATATAGTAAATTAGTAATTACTAATGTTTTATAATGTAATGTTAAATTCATAACTAATTATGTAATTATGTAATCATTTAACTATGTAATGCTATAATTAAGTAAGTGATCATAATATATAATGTAAATAATAATTTAATAATTTAATTGAGTAATTATTTAACTATAATGTAATATTTAATTAATGTTTATAAGAAATGTTTATAATGTAATGTTATAATTAATTAAATTTCTTCATTTAATTAAGTATTGTGCTAATGTTTATGTAGTAAATTAGTAGTAATTACTAATGTTTAAAACTAATATCATACTCTAATCAATTAGTAATCATTTAATTATGTAATGTATATTAATTTATGATCATACTAAATAGTATAATGTAATGTTATATGAATTAAGTAATCATATTATAAATCTTATTTTAATATTATAATTATTAAATTTTAAATCATTTGATTAATATACTAGTGTTTAAATGGAATGTTATAATGATTAAGAAACATATTATAATATATAAGGTAATGTTATAATTAATTAAATTTTTATCGTTTAATTAAGTAATGTAATAATATAGTAAATTAGTAAATTACTAATGTTTTAATGTAATGTTATAAATTCATAACTAATTATGTAATTATGTATCATTTAACTATGTAATGCTATAATTAATAAGTGATCATAATATAATGTAATATATAATATTATAATTTATTTGAGTAATTATTTAACTATAATGTAATGCTTAATTAATGTTTATAAAATGTTTATAAGGTAATGTTAAATTAATTAAATTTCTTATCATTTAATTAAGTATTGTGCTAAGTTTATGTAGTAAATTAGTAATTACTATATTTAAATATAATGACATAACATAAGTAATTATTAATTATGTAATGTTATAATTAATTATATAATCATACATAATGTAATGTTATAGTGAATTAACTATTAGTAATCATACTATAAATTTTAATGTAATATTATAATTAATTAATTTTTTAATCATTTAATTAAGTTTGTACTAATGTTTATAATAAAATGTTATAATTGATTAAGTAATTATAATAATCTAACGTAATGCTATAATTAATAATTTTTAATTATAAGTCAATTAATTAACTATTTAATTATGTTTAACTTATAAGTCAATTAATTAAGTAGTAATCAATTAATGTAATGCTATAATAATTAACTATAATCATTAAGTAATGTTATAAAATTATAATTAATTAGTAATCATTTAACTTAATGTATAATAATTTAATTATGATATTTAACTATAATTAAATTTATTAATATTTATCAATTTATCATATATAATTAATTGTTACTAATTTATTATAGATATACTTAGAATGATAATTGAAGTAAATAACTAAAATATTATTACTCAATCAAATATACTATTTTTTCAAAAATAATTCTTTTAATACATTAAAATGTAAAACACTTTTAATGGATCATAATTCCAATATTCACTATTTATCAAAACTTAATATTATGTATTATAATATATTAAGCTTTTAATATGGTGTAATTTATATGTAATAAGTATAATTGTATTCATAATTATTTAATTAGGTTATTCTAAAAATTTAACTTTTCTATTTTAAATTTTTTTATATGTAAAATAATAGAAACTCCCCCATTATTACTTTCACAAAATATCATTATAGTCCAGGTTCCAAAATAGGTTCTAAACAGGTTCCAAAATGGTTCCAAACAGGTTCCAAACAGTTTCAAAGCAGGTTCCAAATAGGTTCCAAAACAGGTTCCAAACAGGTTCTAAAACAGGTTTCAAACAGGTTCCAAAACAGGTTCCAAACCGGGTACCCCCTACAGGTTCCAAACAGGGTACCCTTTTTACAGGTTCCGATTCCGGTTCCGGTTCCTCCACATGCAAGAACCGGAACCGAAACGGTACAGTAGCGGTTCCAAAAAGTTGGAACCGGAATCTACCCGCACAGAGCAGGTTCTGGGTAGGTTCCGGTTCTGGTTCCAGTTCTTACCCCCGGTTCTGGTTCTACCCGCTACCCCTGCTCACCCCTAGTTTTTACCGTTATTTATCGCATCTCACCCATCCCTCGGGTTTTAACCTAACCGTATAGTAGTGTTAGAATTATTTAAGAGACTTTAGAGTTTTGCTTGTAATGTCCTTGTTTATGTTCGTTGAATTATTTGTATGTACTATCGCCTATTTTATTATATAACACTTCGGCATTTGTCCGTTGAATGTAGTGGCAGCTCACAAACCTGTTATCTTGTGCAGCAATGGAAGCCTTTGGGAGAAATCAACGTTATAGTTATTGAAAGACGGAATGTCAAGGCCTCGCTTTGAATCATCTAACTTTACACGTGGAGTGTGGACTGGTAAAATATTTTTCTCCTTTCGTCTCTCTGAATGTTTCTGTTTCCCTGAAGGCCGCCCAACTTAACTCATCAATTAATGGACTGTTTACGGCGGTGGGTAAGAGAATTGAGGGACAGGCCGCCGGCCAGAAATTCTGTACTCGTAAGAACTTGCATAATTTTCAAACTAAATATTTATGTTGTATTTGGGAGCTTCAGTGAAATTGTATTTGGGTTATAACGCAATTGTTGGGCCTTAAGGATAAGTTGTGGGCTGGGGTTGCTCTTCTTCTTCCATGGATTGGTACTGTACCTGAAAAATGAAACAAACACACAACCAAGGGGCGTCAGGTAATATAACTAACAAGGAAAAGAGAGTTCCATTTTCAAATAAAAAGAAGGGTGTTTACTGATAAAGATGGGGCTCCACATGGTAAATATAACTAAAGGAAAAGGGAGTTTCAATAAATATTCTATGCCTTGCCAAAATTATATAATATATTATCGTCGAGAATTGTGTTTTCTTTCTATCATGCGCATGTGATTATATGTTATTCTTTTCCTCCTTTAGGGCAAGACCACCTTACCATATATAAATACTCCAATATATCCTACCCCCCTTTGGCTACTTATAAATTAAAGCATGAATTTGGAAGCATTCAAGAATGAGTGTGTGAACGAGACCCCACATATGCCATTAGAATACAAATATATCTAAAATCTGGTTTGAATTAAATAGTTGTGGAAGGTACCAACTTTCAAAAGGATTGAAATGCCAGCGCACAGAGGCTATATATATATATATATATATATATATGATCAGAGTCAGTTTCACGGGTTTCATCAGAAAGTCAAGAGATAAGGACAGCCATTGAATGTTTGAAAGCTAGTAATTGAGATTGATGCATTAGGTAAACTGAGCTTTTTAATTAAGGCTAATAAAAAATTGCAATGAAAGATTCTTCAGCAATCAAGCTCGTTTGAATATTAAAATCTTTGCATTTTAATTGATTGATAATTATTTTTTTAATTCATTGTCAATTGTTTATTAATACTGTTTCTTGATCTAATTTATATCTAGCTTTTCTTCTTATCCTCTACAAGAAAGCTCATTTGTTCAAACCAAGTATTGATGCTTGATTTTGACACTAACTATTGACACATGCAAAGTGCTAAGTAGTCTTAAAAATTACACGTGAACTGGAAATAAAATAAATAGAAGGGAGACGATTTTTAAAGTGATTCGGATGCTCAAAGCAAATCCTACGTCCATTATCTTTTTATAAATGAAAGATTACAATTAGGTCACAAATAGCGATCAGAGAAATAGAAATACAGAGAGGGAGAGTGAGTGTTTGTGTTATCAAAGTCAAGATCCTGAAAAATGAGAGGGGAACTCTCAATTTATAGTAAGAGGTTTCTGGGTAATGATTGCGGGTCTACCAGCGAGCAGGTGCCGTACAGTTCCTACCCTACTTCCCATTGGCCAGTTGCACAGAAGATATCCCTACATCGCGCAGAGCTTGGATAGGTGGGTGACTCTTAGCCTTACTCCTTATGTTCTTGGACGACATGACAACATATAGACGACACAATGCCTTCTTGAACTTTGATTGGTCCTCTTTGACGTAAGTCTGCGTCAGTCCTAATTTTTTAGGCATAACAGAAGCCCTCCAGTTCTTAAGGTTTAAGGCTTAAACTTTAAGAACTTCATGATTATGCCATTATTTGACTCATCCCAAGGATCGCTTACTCGAGTTGCAAGTGGAGAACGGCTAAAATAGCACGAAATTCACGATTTTACTTGACCAGCGAGTGGAGGTTGCGATGTGAGCTTGGCGAACTTCACAAGCGACCTAAGATGATTGTCCCCTAAAGGTTCAGCGACCTGGGGTCGGATCCTGCTCAGTGCTATATGCAAAATATCAAAAACCCCCTATTCTTTAATATTATATCAATTTAGTCCCGATTCCTAGTTCCGGTTTCGGTTCCTTGGATTTGGAATCGGAACCGAAATTGCACACTATTGGTTCAAATTTTTTGGAACTCGAACCTATCTTGTTACGACAGGTTCCAGATAGGAACCGGAACCAACACCCGAGTACCTATCGGTTCCGGTTCTACCCTAAAATTTTGCTCGCACCTAACCAACATCATTGGTAATTTTGAAAATGAATATAGAATATTAAAGTAAAATAAGAATAATATAATCCATCCTTTAGCGCAACTAAGAATATTCTCTCCGACATTTTTTTCTATTTAACTAATTATTGTCATAATCGCTATATTTTAAAACACAATCTATACGATAAAATTTATTAAATTAATATATATTAATAATATTTTACAATTCGGATCCAATGATGTATATGCATGATTTTGACTAAAAAATTATTTATATACGATAGTTCTTTAGTCAGGGCATCATATCCTAATACAATTTTATTAGGATCATGCACAGATACGTTGGATTTGGATTGTAAAACATCGTTTTAGCCAAATGTGATAAATCCAATGGTAGATAATTATGATCTTGACAAAAGTTATATCACGAAGTCTTGACTAGAAAATTACTCAATATATATGCAGGTTAGATGTCTTAAAGTTTTAACATATGGTTTAAAGGTAAGTGGTCACTAACTTTTCTTATTTTATGTTGTGAGGGTATCATCTACCGCCTGCATGTTAAAATTTCTAGATGTTTACACTGGAGATTAATTATATAGATAGTAATATGTGGTCCTAAAGTGTTTTATCCAGAATTTCTCTATAAAACCTGATCAGCAGTTTATACTTTTCTTATAAAACCTCTTCAACTGTTCATACTTTTCTCACATAAGGAACTTTAATTTCCCGAACATGTCAACAGGTGAAGATGCTCCAGTTACAGTAGCTGCACAAGGAGGAGATAAATACAGGTCCTTCCTGAACGATGAAGGTGGAGAGAAAATTCAATGGAGACATGGCGGCCCTCCTACTTATGATAGCGTAAATCAGCTCTTTGAAGAAGGCCGAACTAAGGTGCATAACACCTTCATCCTCCCCCCATAGATCTGTCTTTCTTCTTACATATTATATATTAATCTTGGAGATGACTAATCTCTGTGTAAGATTTTAACATTTTCGTGTTATTTATGCAGGAGTGGCCGAAAGGTTCCTTGGAAGAAACAGTGCAAAATGCTATCAAGTCATGGGAGATGGAGCTCTCACACAAGACTCGCTTAAAAGATTTCAAAACCATTAATCCTGAGAAGTTTAAGCTCGTTGTTAATGGTACTACATATATATCATCTTCTGTTATTGCTCTATTATGATTTATGAAGTAATTAAATATCATGTGAATAAATTTAACTTTCTAGCAAAAGCACTTCATGTAGTTATAAAGAAATTGATATTAAAATATCATTTTTGTTGATTTTAGGTTAGTTTTTTTTCTTAATCTTTTCCTTTATTGATGATAAATGTTGAAACCAGATGTTTCTCTCCAACCTTACAGATATTATTAATTATTGGTGCAATATTATGATATCTTTGACTAATATAAATTTATTTATTTTCACTTTACCTAAACAATACAATACACCTGTCATGTTAAGCAAATAGTTTAATTGGATTGTTGGTCCTACTAAAGTATCATGTTATGCCCCATTTTTTTTATTTATCATTATCGAATTGAATTGAATTAATTCATTCACTTTTCTGAGATTTAATTTGAAACTTAACATGTGTTCATAATTATTGAACACAAATCAAACATTGTGTTTCATATCAAATCACATGTAAATAAATTTTACACGTGACAGGAAGAGAAGGATTATCTGCAGAAGAGACACTAAAAGTTGGAAGCTACAACGCTTTGTTGAAGAATTCATTGCCAGAGGAGTTCAAATACTACAAGGCAGAAGAAGAGAGCTTTGAATCATCTCATGAAGTATTTCGATCGGCTTTACCTCGAGGGTTTGCATGGGAAATTCTAAGTGTTTATTCTCGGCCTCCTGTGATTGCTTTCAAGTTCAGGCATTGGGGTTTCTTTGAAGGACCTTTCAGAGGACATGCTCCCACTGGAGAAAAGGTTGAATTTATTGGGTTGGGAACTATTAAGGTATGTTCTCTAAATTCAGTTATTTATTAAGTAAATAGATGTATTCATTTAAATAGCATATAACAACAAAATATGGTGGTAATTTTATAGATCGACAGAATATTAATGAAATAAAATAGACAATAGTGATATCATCCATCAGGATTCATTTTCCTTGGAGTTCAATATTTTTGCAGACGTCTAGGTGAGCTGCATACTTTTATTGTCAATTGAAGAATGGCCCATCATTAATTAAATACATGACTGTATTTGAAGTTGAAGTGGGGTTTGGTAATGAGAAATAAACTTGACAGGTTGATGAATCACTAAGGGTAGAGGATGTTGAAATCTACTATGACCCAGCAGAGTTATTTGGAGGATTATTAAAAGGGTCACCAATCTCTGAAACTGTGTCGAAGAAAGAAGATAAGAGTGCTGAAAGGTCAACACCGATCCAAGGCTGTCCTTTCTCCCACAAAGTATAAATGCATAACATGTGGATGGCTCATGGCGGTGCCCTTTTCCCAATCGATTTTTATTTTTAAGTTTATCTTATCATCAACAATGTTTTTTTTCTGTTTCCGTTGTTTCTTTCTTTATCAATATTTAATAATCTGAAGACTTTTTTATTCAGTATCGCCACTGCAAGAAGAAATATCTATTAGATGAAGACATCTCCCAAATCATATACTTAAAGTTTTCATGCCAAATTTTGCAACTTCTCATATGATAATAGTAATATCATGTGGGCAGATTTTGTCGAGTAAGAGGTTTGCCTACTTGTTGTTGAACTCTTAAATAAAATTCACTAGCGTTTAGAAGAGATTCGCTAATGTTGAAGGCTGTTAATAGGTTTTGTTGGCGTGACCCCTCCGATACTTAAGTTAGATACCAAGACCAAAACAGTTGAAAAAATAAGGTTACTTCATGTTACACTATTCTAAATCATTATTATCTTATCCTATTTATGTGTTTATTTACTTATTAGTATCATTATTATGAAAATTAATCCAAATTAAATAACATTTTTTTTGGTCTAAAAATGAAAAGAGGGAGGACTTATTTTCAGATTATTCAACTCAAAACATTTTTCTATCTAACATTATTCAACTCAAAACATTTTTTTTTTCTTTCTCTCCTCGTTTTCTTCTCCTTCCAATTTGAAAATTAATCCAACTAAGACCACAACTGCTTACCAGTAACCACTGTAGCCACTAGCCAACATGGCCGGACCGACGCATGACTGGCAAGATCTAGCTAGTTAAGCGTCGATCTAGCCGTTAACGAAGACCAAAGATTTGTCATAAATCAGGCCAAAAAATGGTAATATCAACACACGATCAGTCAAATCTATCCGATCGTGCATCGTTTCGGCGATTGTTGGCTATCGTTCGGAGGTGGTGGTCGAACGTTGGCTATCCTCTTGGGTGGTTGGGGTGTGCTTCGCTTTACAGGGGTTAAAAAATAATAAATATTTTTAGAAATTGTGCCAAACAATTATTCTGTCTTAAATTTTTTTTTTAAAAATATGCTAAACAATTATTCCAGCATTTTATCCAACTCTAATATAATTTTTAGATATTTTATTAAACACATTTTCAGAATTTGGTCTTATTCGATTTAATCAAACTCAATTCAATTTAAAACACTTTTTCATAATAACATTTTTTAAATAATCTATCAAACAGCCCCTTAGGATTTTATGCAAACAATATGATTTTGAGGGATTTAAACAGCCTTTGCAGTTTGCCCCCAAAATTGTAGGAAGTTTTTTATTTTTGCTGAAATGTCTAGAAGTGGTAAAGTTAATATCGTAAAATATAAGTAGTGGAAAGTTAACTGGGAAGGGAAGACAAATACGTGATGGGTAGTTGGAGATTTTACCTCCTTGTCTGCCACGTGTCATACCATTTGTCCACTCATATTAACATATATATGAGTCTCCTTTTCTTTGGACAGACTTTCGGGTTTGGGCCGCAGGTGGCCAAAATCTCCAATCCGACTCATTTTCAAAACTTAATTTATTTTAGATGAGAAATGATTTTTAGCCTCCACTTAATTAACTAGTATCCCTCACTTTTAAAAGTATTATTATGTTTTGACAAGTTTGACCTTAAATAAAATCACTATAAATGTAATTATAATTTCTAATTACACTCCTAATCTTTTTAACCTTTGATTTTACATAAACCCTAACACTAAATTCTCATAACCTCAACCCTGAATTTTCATAATGGTTGAAAACCTTTTTTTTATTTCAACATTTACTTTTTTGATGAGAATATAATACTAAAACCATGGAAAAAGTAATCACACCATGTGATATATCAGATTTTGATAAAAAAAAGTTTCAAATATGAAATTACAAAATTGGGGAAAGGTGTAAACAAAAAACCTAATTAAGTTTAAAATTAGGAAAAATAAACCTAATTACGCTTAGAGTGCTATTTTTTTGGGTATTAAATAGGATTAAGGAGATTTTTTTTAATTATAAAAGAGGTGTATTTAGCAACGGAGGATACTGCCCAATTAGACAGGGACTAAAAATCACCTCCCACTCTAGACCTTTATTAATATATTTTAGGCGCATTTATCATGGACTCCCTCATCGGACTTCATCAAATTGGACTAGGCTAAAAATTTCCCATCAATCTATATCATGCAACTTCTTTTATATTTATTTTCATATAATTTTTAATTTATATACCTTTTTTAAATTCCTAAAAAAATCCATAATTCCTATTATCTCTGAAATTCATTATCAACCTCATATTAGGACTAGTTTGAGTTTGTTGCAACTTAAAACTTAATAATTTTTTGACTCTACTTTAAAAATAATTTGGAGTGTGTTGGGTAAATTAAAATTTTAAGGCTGCTTTGATTTTTAAAAACTATAAATATGTGCTTGGTAAGTTTAATTTTCAAATTTTTGTTATATGTGTAATGGCAAAAGAGGGCATATTTTATTTCTTAAAATATTTTTATAATTATAATTTTTTTTGATACATATTTAATAACTATTAAATGTGTATTAAAATAATTTATACTAAATAAACTCTTATTTAACTAATAATTTATCAGAATATCCCAATCCAAGTTTACATCTCACTTTGTGATAGTCTCTCTGCTCTTCACATGACTACCAATCCGGTCTTGCATGGGAGGACGAAGCACGTTGAAGTAGAATATCATTTTGTAAGGGAAAAGGTTGCCTTGAAGTCTCTTCTTTCTTGTCACTCTATATGTCCCTACGAACGAGCAGGTCATTAACATCTTCACTAAACCACTTTCATGACCCATGTTTTTGTCTCTTCGTAGCAAACTTGGTTTGATCGCCTCAAGTTTGAAGGAGAATGTTGACAGACCAATCCAAACTGAAGATATGCATTCAACATAATTGCATTTCCTCCAATATGTTGGATAGCTATATAGAATTTTTGCATATAAATTTTGATAATTGAAGTTGAATCTATACAATAGTTTCGATAAAGATCATTGATACCAAGATCTCAAGTACCTGACTAAGATGGTGCACTTTGTATTACATGAGGTAGATCATAATTAATGTCTTTAATAGAAGGATTCTTGGAGGTTATCTTATGGAGGCATCTTCCAATTCCACTGCCAACATCAACTGTGATGAAGCTCCATCGTAACCTCTGTATATCTATAGAACTCCCCTCATGATATTGAAAACATCGCTGAAAACGGATGGTTGCTTTTGTACCGATACATCGAGATTCCATGAACCGTCTTGAACAAATCACCACCATCAAGAATGGCAATCTTCATACGTAACCTTAATTAAAAAAAAAAAAAAAAAACAATCTTCATATGATTAAATCAACTTAACATAGAAGTAAATAGCTGATTATTTATTAAAGATAAATAAATAAATATGATGGATCATCATTTAACGTAATAACAGTGGAGAGCCATATGGGTTATGCTATGCAAAAGATCTTTGATGTATACGAAAGTCTTGATGATTAAATATATATATTGGTTTCTGATAATATAAAGTCTGAATTATTGGGCAAGTTAAGTGTTTTAGTTGTTTAGCCAGATCTGAGTTTATACTTTTAAGATATGAATATGAGTTTAATTTATTTGATTTAATTTTACCCCTATTTCCACAAGGCTTGATGCTATGACCCATCTATCCAACTATTACGTTAATTGCTCAGCTTTTCATGCCAGCATTCTTAAATACGAAATACAAATAAACGAAAAGTTTAGATTTAGCATTCGAATTTAAATTCTTGTTTGAATTAACTATTATATACCATTTTTTTCTTTTTTTTAGAAAAATTTAAAAAATCCATCCTCAAGTTCCCTCCAATAGTTTTCGAAATGCATCAAAATGCCCCAAAATTAGTAAACACCCTTGAAACTCACAAACCAAACTAGTCCCCAAAAACACCAGAAATTACAATCTACACCCCCTGTTGTCTATTTTGGCAGCTTAATTTAATGGAATAAGGTCAAAATTGTCACTATATATGAAATATATACATTAAAATTAATAAATTTAAAAGCTAAACTATTTTTTTAATAAAAAATAAAATGTTAAAAGTAAAAAAAAAAATATATTCAAAAACACCATATTTGAACCCAAATACGACGACTTCGATCTATTGGGACAATCTAGGACCAATAGATGGCGCAGATCGCGGCCGATCTTGTGAGATTGCATAGCAATCTCAATTTTCTTGCCACAATATGGTTGAGATTGTGGTTTTCGGCCATTTTACCAGCCAACAATAATGGAGAGAATTTATATTTTTTTCATAAATTCTTTTGTGTTATTTTTATATTTTATGTCAAAGTTTGAGATTGAAGGTGGCAAAAGAGGGAGAAAACTGCCGAAGAATGCCTACAAAGGAAGCTTGATAGAAAGGGTAGAAATGAAGATTAAAGAATATCAAGCAAAGGGAGAATTATATTTTTGTATTGTATATTGTAATGTGTACATCAGCCAATTTATACAGTGGCCTTGAATACAATAAAGGAAAGGGAATATACTGTAAAGGAAATGCAATAAACTCTTAATTACAAAATATTATAATAATCAATCAAATAATTGTAAATCAATAACTGCTTGATTCCAACATAAATATCTTCAGCATTCCATATTTCATCACTCTCCCTCAAGTTGGTGGTTTGTCGAAAACCCCAAGCTTGTGTAATAAATGAGAATGCTGACGACTACATAAAGGCTTCGTGAATATGTCTGCTGGTTGTTCCGATGTTCGTATGTGCCTAGTCCTGATAATCCCTTCCTGAATTTTCTCCCTGACGAAATGACATTCAATTTCTATATGTTTGATTCTTTCATGGAAAACTAGATTTGTCGCGATATCATTAGCAGCTTTGTTATCGTAGTATAGAGTGACTGATTTTCCTGTTTTTATTCCCAAATCTTTGACTAATCCAAGAATCCAGACAATCTCACAAGTTGTTTTTGCCATTGCCCTATATTCTG